GTTTTATGATAATGAATACGATTTTTTTGTGAAACTCTTTTACATATGCAGAAGTAACCTAAAAATGTTGTAATAAAAAAATATTTTCATTATATACTTTTTTTATAATTATGCAAATTATAAACACATAAAGTGTTTTTCTAAAGTCGGGACAAACTTTAAATAATTTATTCAAATTTGTTTTTTCATAACAATAGTTTTGTAATACAACTCCGGTGTCATTTGTTAAATTATAAAACACTCAAAATAGTTTTAAATTATCAAAACACTATATAACACTTTGATTTACAATGTATATCTCGAAATGTTATCCCCTTCCCACAATGCGAACAACAGACCATGCTTTTAATATCGATAACATAAAGTTGCCTTCGTCTCAGTTTACAAAGGTAAACTGAAACCATACTCAGTCGATGTTTTCATGAACTGTACATGAAAGGAGCAGCTACGAAGTTCTATTTCTCACAAGTTTGTTTTCGAAAATTTTCAATTTGAGTAAAGACAGATAAAAAAATTGAAATTTAATTAATAATTGGACCTACAAACACGCACACACTACCCCCCCATATTGAAATAAGCACACGCCTACTCGTATTTCAGTAATTATACATAACCAGGAACATCCATGATCTGGTGTCACTTCTGGTAGACAGGGAGAAAGATGTGCAATGCAGACCCAACTGTATACTGCAATTGTGCACTATAGTTAATATTTACATATTCAACTGACACGTGTTTTGTTTTGTTGTTGACATTCTGTTTCCGAATTAATGACGGATGTATATTAATTTGTATGACACTAGTCTATAGAAAGTATTATAAACCTGAGTACAGCGCTGAACGTGTATTTTGCATAGAAAACCATCTTTCCATTGTTTGTGACTGGCATAACGAGAATAACATCATGTGCAGCACTCAGACTGTCACTCATTGCAACAACTGTGGCTTATGTATACAACACATTGTAAACAGATTCTAAATTAGCAATCACTATTAAATACAGATGGAATATTATATTGATATACATCTCTAAATATTAAAGGAAAGCGATTCCTAAAATCATAATTACAATAAATATAGCGAATGTATATTTGTGATCACGCACCCATGAAATACAAGAGAGAACTCATTTGAGAGCAAAATAGTATATATTGTTTTTATTAACATGAATCTACATGGTAACCCTTAGAAGCACTTTTATGTTTTTCATTTAAACACACTATTTACATTGGCAACACACTGTTCAATTAAAAAACATGTGTGTTTTCTATCCAAACATTCGTGTTTTAGTATTTAACAAAAAAAATCACTGTTACTCCGGGGATAATTTTGCCCAAAACAGTCATCAACAAATCCAATTTTTAAACAGTGACAGACCCTCTAATTAAAAAAGATAAATTAAACAAGCATAATCAGGAAAATCCCAGCTATAATTTGAGCTGATCACTTCCGGCAGACAAGAGAAATCTTGTTGCAGGCCACA